CATCACAATTAAAGCATCTAAAGCTGAAACCAGAATACCAAACTGATTCACAAATGAAATATAGAAGCTATACAGTGGGATCATTTTCATTTCCCAGCTAAGAGAAGCCACATGGTAGGTATTAAGGAAAGGAAAGCAACACTTGAGAATACAAAGGGAAGTAGGGTTCATGTGGATACAGGAAATTTAGTAGAAACAAACAACATGACAATTACAAGCAGAGAACTTGTCCAGAATATACAGCCATAAGCGCTGTTTGGAGAAATTTTAATGACTTCATGAATGCCAAAACTCTAAACTGCATGTGGAAAGCAAGTCTGAATAATAGTGGATAGATAAAATCTGTATTATTGGGAAGCAGTGACAACTGTGTTTCAGGGTTGCGTCTACACTGTAGAATTAATGCAGTTTCATAGAATCATAGAGTTGAAGAGACCTTGTGGAATATCCAGTCCAACCCCCTGCCAAGAAGCAGGAAAATCGCGTTCAAAGTGGTTTGACACCACTTTAACTGCCATGGCTTAATGCTATGAAATCCTGGGCATTGTGGTTTTGTAAGACACTAGCACTCCTTGGAAGTGAAGGTTAAAGAGCTTGTAAAACTGCAACACCATGGTCCCACAGTATTCCACCATAGCTGCCGAAATGGGGTTCATATGTCATTAATTCCACAGTGCAGATGCATCCTTAGTCTGAACTTCAAAGACACTATCCAGGGTGCTGAATTCTATCTATTCAGTTCCTCAAATAGGTTCTTTAAATTACAACTGAAGTAGATTCACCACCACACTGACATGAAGTTATCATCACCAATGTTGGAGACATTTCAAAAACCATAAAAATACTATACTGAGAATTAGAATGTACTAATCAAGAATGAAAATTTAAAATGGACAACTTAAGCTTTATCCCCTGCATTAAGTAATGCAATACTGAGAATATTAACATGACTTAATATTACAGTAATTTAAGGAAAACAAATTGGCTGAGATGCTTTATGTGCCTTTCATGTACACATGTACATGGTTCTTTCCTTCAAAATAATGAAAAGCAATACTGTACATGCATGCACCAATGCACATATTTGCACACATGCACACCTATCCACATATAGGCACTGTGAACTGAAACATTTCCAGAGCTTCTTCACCATTCTTTTCAAATTACTGAAAACACACTATTGCATGTTCTCATACAGGAGACTTTATCTAAGGCCCTTGTCCAGTGTGTTAGTGTAAGTTTAAATCTTAGCAGCCTCCCTCCACACTCACACTCCTCTCTTATGCATCTACACTAGTGGTTCCCAACCTTTTTTTGACCAGGGATGACTTGACCAGGGACCACTTTGACCAGGAACCACTATGATCCAACACTAGTACCAAAGGGTTACGAATTGGTTTTTGGTCAACCTTAGATTTGATTTGGTTATTTGGAGTGCTGATTCAGAAAATTGCATTGGATAGATGACGTGAGCTCTAGTTACTGATACAGAACATATGCCATCCAGTAGTCACCATCTGCTCACCAACAGAAAACTGTATTTGATAATCTAGAGCTGATGTGGTCTATCCAATACAACTTTTTGAATAGGCACTCCAAATAAACCTCGGAACAGGCCCAAAAACAAAGGCACTAAGGTGCCCCCACTTCCAGGTGCTGCACGGAATGGCTCAGCTCTGGGAAGGGGAGGAGACGCAGCAGTCAGGAGGCTTGTTTCTTTTGTGGGTAGTCAGCCCTCCCGACATCCTCATTGGCTCGGCACTTAGTGAGACCAGTCACTCTTGTTGTATCGGTGTAGTAACGGTGAGGCCATGGACTACATTTTAGTTCTTGGGGACCACTGGTGGTCCATGGACCACAAATTGGGAACCTCTGATCTACACTGTAGAATTAATGCAGTTGCCAAGACACAATGCTATGGAATCATGGAAGCTGTAGTTTGAAGAGGCTCCATCACTGGTAGGTAGAGGATGCTAAAATTATGACTCCCATGATTCCATAAGCATTGAGTCATGGCAGTTAAAGTGGAATCAAACTGCATTAATTTTACAGTGAAGATGCCCTCCCTATCTCCTTTCCATTTTGGGGGCAGCTTCCTAAAAGATTAAATACTTGTCCTTCTCTAGAAAACTAGTTGACAGCTTAAGGAGTCATCCAAACCTACTTGAAGGGTGCTATATCTTTTCAGCTCTTGGATTAATTACGGGGAGCAGCACAGCCTCTGTGTGTGTCACTGCTACCACTCCACAAATCCCTATTTTGAGCAGAAACCATTCCAGTTCCCGGGAAGAATGTTTTCCCCATGGTTTTATCTGATGTCAGCATGAACTTAGTGCTGTATAAATAACAGAAAACAAAAATAAACGAATAAATGGATTTTGAGCAATAATTTTAGCAAAAGAATGATTGTTGGTTGACAGTTCAGTAGGAAGATTGGGACTATGGAGGCAAAAGAGAGTTCTTGGGATTACTGGCCCATTTATAAAGACAACCACACATGCTCTCCAAACATTCTTCACCAGCTTAAGAGCTCAAATACTCTGCATTTCAAAATGAACAGTTGGCAACATGAAAAATTTCCATTTATTTTCACGAAACATTCATTTTCATACCATCTTGGAGTGTGAAAGTATGAAACGGAGATGTAGCTATAACCCACAGATTTTGGTAAAAAAACTAAAAGTCCAACAAATTTTGAATCTACATTTAACGACTCCTTAGTAGTCATTTAATGCGATGAGACTTTATGCTGCCTAAAAAGATGCTTTAAAAGGCTACCTAGCTACCAAGAGCAGGTTATGAGGCCACATAATGAGAGAGGAATACCAGGAAAGGGGGAATAATCCCAGTTCTGCTAACAAAAGTGGAACTGGGCTCTATTGCTGTAAATTCTGGTCAGAGACTCCACTGAATGGTGGGATTCACGTTTACGGAACTGTGCATAGATTTGCATTGCAAGTCTTGAATTTATTAAGTTGCACGAATATGCAGGGACCTAGAAAGCAATCCTGGAAAACAACAAAAGAATATTGTGTTGCTTTTCTGAATGAGCGCACAGTCACATCACAATCAAAAGAAATACCAGTAAAAAGGCAGTGTAAACCACAAGCTCCTGATACAGAAGACCTCAGGTTTTGAAATCAGAATTATAACAGAAAGGGTAAATGGCATACCAGTTTTATCATGAAGAACTAGAATGTTGTCCTTCATGTTAAAATAACATTTCAAGAATAAGCACACACTCAGATCAAAACCACTGTTGTGTTAAAACTATACAATAAATGTAGTTTGACACAACTTTAACTATGATGGCTGAATGCTGTGGAATTATGGGAATTGTAGTTTTACAAGGTATTTAGCCTTCTTTTCAAATAGTGCTGGTGCCTCACCAAACTACAACAACTTCATACAGATGCCATCAATGCCATCTGTATACAGAAAATGTTCAACTCTATTACTCTTTTCCATCTGCTACTAAGGAGGCTGTTCAGGTCCTGAACCGGTGCTTGGCAGCTGTGATGGTCTGGATGAGGGCGAACAAATTGAAATTAAATCCAGACAAGATAGAGGTTCTCCTAATTGCTGAACAGGATATAGGATTACAGCCTGTACTGGACGGGGTTACACTCCCCCTGAAGGCTCAGGTTCACAGCTTGGGAGTGGTCCTGGATTCATCGCTGAACCTGGAACCTCAGGTTTTGGCAGTGGCCAGGGGAGCTTTTGCACAATTAAAACTTGTTCGCCAGTTGTGCTTGTACTTTGGGAAGTCAGACTTGGCCAATGTGGTCCATGCTCTTGTTACATTCTGAGTAGATTACTGCAACACACTCTATGTGGGGTTGCCTTTGAAGACTGTTCAGGAGTTTGAAATGGTCCAAAAGGGCAACAGCCAGATTGCTCACTGGAGTGGTGTACAGAGAGCACACATCCTCCTGTTATGCCAGCTCCACTGGCTGCAAGTCTGATACTGAGCACAATTCAAAGTGCTGGCTTTAGCTTATAAAACCCTAAATGGTTCCAGCCCAGCTTACCTGTTGGAACATATCTCCCTCTATGACCCACCTCAGAAGTTAAGATTATCTGGGGAGGCCCTGCTCTTGGTCCCACCACCATTGCAAGTGCAGGTGGTGGAAATGAGAGTCAGGGCCCCTCATCTATGGAACTACCTCCCCAATGAAATCAGGTCAGCTCCCTCCCTCCTGTATTTCAGGAAGAAGCTTAAGACATGGCTGTGGTACCAAGTATTCAACTAGTAAATAGTGCAACAAGGATAACGGACTAATGAAATTGACAATTGGACAGGTCTTGGACTACGATCTGGGTTACGTGATTTTAATTGATGTTTTAATAATTAATGTTTGATTGTATGGTTTAAATTGTATTTATTTATTTTTATTTTTACATGAATTTGTATTGAATTGCTGCCTGGTGTAAGGCCACCCTGAGTCTCCTTTTAGGGTGAAAAGGGCAGGATACAAATATGTGACCTAAAAACAAAATAAAAAATAAACTATGATTCCATAGCATTGAGCCATGGCAATTAAAGTGGAGTAAAACTGCATTAATTCTAGATGCACCCCGAGAGAAATAAAAAGGCATCTGTATAAAAAACTTGTGTACATCACAAGTTCTTTACACAGGAGATAAGTTTTTGCTTGGGTGTGCCAGTTTTGTCATGAGGAATTGCAAGCGATTATTCTGAGCCCGTAAATACATAATACATCTCTAAAAATTACATCTTGTTGTTTTATGAAGCCCATGGGACACTTCTGTTTCAGAGAATTACTCCACCTGCCAGCAGAAAAAGAAGCAAGGAAGACTGTAAATTTAAAGATTGTTTTGTAGAAGCAAACGATATTCCTTTAGGAAAAAACTATTATAATGGGATGAAGCTGCCTATGAATGTTTCATTTTCATCCTCCCTACTCTATCATTTTCAAAATTAAATCACTGATGACTGAATTATAGACTTTAAAACATGAAGGAGAAGAAAAACTCACTTGAACATCTGTTCATGTCTGGAGCTCGGAGACCATAGTACCCTGATGGGCAGGAATTCAAGCACTCCCCGTATTGTCTCATTCCTTCTCTTCGTAGAAAGAAGAACAACTTATGCTGGCATCTGATGCATCCGTTGTCCTTTGAGCAAGACAAACAACCCTTGCAGATTGGATTGGGTCCATAGTTGGCTGTGAATGAGTTTTTCAAAAAGAGAGAGACAGAGAACACCAAGAGAGTTAAAACACAAGAATAAGCACAGTTAAGATTCCCCATCTTCCCATTAAAGATTGTTTAAAAAAGGTAAAGTTAAATGTTTTCCCTTGACATTAAGTCCACTCGTGTCCAACTCTGGGTGGCGGTGCTCATCTCCATTTCTAAGCTGAAGAGCCGGCGTTGTCCATAGACACCTCCAAGGTAATGTGGTCAGCAAGACTGCATGGAGCGCAGTTACCTTCCTGCCAGAGCTGTACCTATTGTTCTACTTACTTTTGCTTGTTTTCGAACTGCTAGGTTGGCAGAAGCCGAGGCAAACAATGGGAGCTCATGCTGCTCTCTGGACCCTCACATACGCCCCTTGTTTGACTCCGGGGTTTATTTTCGCCATGCTCCATCTGGCCCCCGTGCGAACTCCACAACTAGCTCCCCAGTTAGGGCCCCCCCTCCTGGTTTGTATCACTTTGAGACCCCATCTGCCCCGGCCGCATCCACGCAGCCAGCCACACTTCTCCGCTCGAGAACGCTCCCTCTATTCAGCCCACTAAGCTCCCTTGATGTCTCGTTATCTACCTCAACATCAGAATCACCCCTACCAAACGCCCAGGGGAGATTATTTCCCAGCCCGACTTCCTCCTCTGAGAGCTGACTAGACCTTGGCCATGTGGGGGGGGGGAAGGTTCCGGAGGAGGGGGGTGCTATTCGAGTCGTGTGGGGGAGAAGATTTGCGGGTTACAAATATCCTAGGGAGAAGCGCAGTAGAGTCCTTGCGACCCTGGGAAAGGTGGAGAGTGGTAGGCTCCTTGGCAGCCCCCTTGGTCTTAAGGTCCTCTTGATTAATGCCAGATCTGTTAATGGTAAGACCGCAGCCATCCAGGACTTGATCCTGGATGAGAGGGCAGATCTGGCATGCATTACCGAGACCTGGTTGGACGAGCTGGGGG